AGGGAAACTCCAGTGCCAGAAAAACAATCTGAGGATGTCCAGCGACGCTCTAGCACAGGTTTCCTGTGCTAGGGGCACGGAAGTGCCCTCTTGTGGCTGTCTACTAGACAGCCACTAGAGGTGGAGTTAACCCTGCAAGGTAATTATTGCAGTTTATAAAAAACTGCAATAATTACACTTGCAGGGTTAAGAGAACTGGAAGTTGGCACCCAGACCACTCCAATGGGCAGAAGTGGTCTGGGTGCCTGGAGTGCCCCTTTAAGAAGGACTGGATAGTGGGGGCAGTTGTACTAGTTACCTGCTAGAATAGGGGTTCACAAGAGTTGCGAAGGGACAGCTGGTGAGATGAAAGGGGTTGGTTAAAATGGAGTGGGGAATGTGACGGTCTGAATAGGTATCACCGTCTAGTATTTCCTTATTCCCGTAAAATAATATCGCCAATAATCCACAGGGTAAAATATCGCCGGTATCGCATAATAATCCACACATGAGTCAAAGCTTAATGCTGGAACAAGACTGGTTTATTGGAAGCAAGGACATTCAATTTATACAACACCAGACTCCTCCTCTGAGCCAGCAAGATAATTGAGTTTTAAAAACATACTAAACTCAATTATCTGCTGGCCAGAAAAGTTAACAATTTTAAAAATTTTTAGAAATATACATTCTGCATAACAAAACCATATAAAAACCATATCCCTGGGTAGCTGAGGATGATGTGAGTAACATATTTAAAATTCACGAAAATCCATTCGGTACTTTCCGAACTGCACCATGTGGAAGTTTGACCGGCTCACCACGAGGTTGTATCCGACCAAGAGTTCCACAGAATTGGCAGCAAGAGCCGGTCTCCATTCGGATGGATTTGCAGGAAAACCGCCATTGATAGAATAAAGATGATTTGTGGAGAATGCTCCTCTCATTCGTCTGTTTGAAACTCCCGAACGCCATTCTTCTGCCGTATGTGGAAATAGTTTGTATGGGACTTCCATAGAGGCCGGGGGTTCGTGCAAGTGCCATGCCCAAAACAGATCCAGGCACTTGACGACCAAGTCCCGCTGGCCGCGTTCGGGAGTAAAAAAGTTGGCCGCCATCCATTGTTCTCACCACGTGTGTTCGGATGCACGAAATAGCGGCCACCTAGGAGCATTCAATTAACTTGCGGTTTTCGTGTAGTTCCACAAGGTTCTATGTTCTAATTGATACCCAAGGTGTTCTCCGTTCGGTAAAATGAATATTTTACCAAACAACGGAAAAAATAAGGAAATTATCCAAGTGAATAAAACAGCAGGGAGTGGAAACAACCGAACGAGTTGTGGGAAATCCTTTACAGGGAGTAAGGGGCAGCTGAGAAAATCTAAAGAGTTAAAGGTACAGTCTAAGATCTACCATCACTGCAGCTTTTTGTATTATTACAGCTTGTTGTAGAGGTTATGGTCTTTGGGTGCCAAACCTTTTATAGCTGTTTGGCAAAAAAACTGTGTCTCTCCCGGCACCCAAAGCCCAATCTCTCTGCTGCCACTGCGGAGGGAAGAATATAGAATAGAACAAATCTAAATCTGAACGGCAATAATAGACGTGAGCACAGGTACAGCGCCAGGCATTTGCATCTTCCACAATTACTATAACAATCTGTAGTGATTATGGTGCATAGAGTGCCATTTTAAGGGGATATTTGGGATAAGTGCAATATTTAGGAGGGGCACTGTGCAATAAAACAGTCAGAGATGATGAAATATTGGCCATACTCGAGTTCTCGAATTTACTGAAATGATAGATGGCTAATGCAAAGCAATAATGGGAGAAAACGTGCATTTACCCCAAAACGATTAATGAAAAAATGGTGAAAAAGGGGAAGGGTAATAATGGATGCTCTGCGTGGCAGGAACCTTTAGTAATTCCCTAATCCCACCCTCTTCACATTAACGTCAGACTCTAAATGATAGAATTAGGGTTAGATAGAGTTACTTAATAGATTACTTGTATTAATTGTATGTATAACACACGGTCTCCTTAATCAAAAACAGGAAAACTAAACATGATGCTCATACAACCAGCCAGAAAACCCGTGGTCATATTCCCTCGTTCTGCATCATGTTTGTGGACAGACAATATAATAATTATCATAGAGTAAATATATAACTAATTTACGGATTATCATTGATTGTAGACCGTGGATGTAACAAACTAGAGGAACGCAAATCCTGTTAATATTTAGACTTGATACAGTAAGAGAATTCTACTTATTGTATAATTATTTGTGAGAAATGTAGAATATATAACATATATGGTACTACGTCTAGAGAAATTAGTTATGGAGAAAGAGATACGCTTCCAGTTAGCTCTACCTTTGTGCGTTAAAATCTTTGTTAAGGATGTCCAGTATATCTCTTGATCCAAATGGATAATTCCCCGATATGTAATAGAAACAAAAACGGAGACAATATAATGTAGTATGTTCAGATGGAGTAAACTGACACTTAGAAAATGGTATTACACTCACATGAAATGGAGCCTCTAAATTGCTCCTATTTGGTAGCGTGAAGTAGAATAATCCCCACTCTAGGATAAACTGATGGCAGATATCTTCTCTGTGATGTATATAGGAGAGAAAACAGGCACACAATAGTGCACGCTGTGATGAAAAATAGTGCAAAAAAATGGAGTAACTTACTAGGTGGTATGTTCCCTCTAATGGAAATGGTGTCCAAAACGGTAATTGAATTAAAGCAGGATGGTCTTGGAGACTTGAGGAAATTAATAACTATCTTTATTCTAATATGAAACAAGAATTGATCAATAATTAGAAACCCGATTCCCCTCTTCCAATAACTGAAGTCCTTGTAATACAGAGCAACACTTTGTGTGGCCCAGCAATATGTATAAGTGATGTGTCTCCAGAAAAACATGGTGGATCAAACAACCCTATACATTGGCCCCCATACATACATATTGCCCAAGTGTGAATCCCATAATGCACTGGGCGTCCCAATTCTTTGTCTACCAAGTTACAATTTAAACCTCCATTTAAGATTGCCATAAAATAATGTGGGAGTAAATGACTGGAATCGCACACTGATACTAGGAACTGATCTGTATCTCTCCGATACCCCCAGAACAAATGTATCCGTTTAATAATCCTCTTAAATTCAAATAGTATTAGCTCTAACATAAATCATTTTACAGAAGGAATAGCAAGTCGTACAGAAGTCAAGAAATATTTATTTATATATTAATTCTTCCCTGCATGGCTGTTTCCATGGCAACTTTATGAAGTTGGCTATTTGACATCCTTTTTAGAAGTTTAGTTACCGTAGAAACTGAACAAGGCTGTTATATATAGCAACTTTTCTGACATCGAAGTGTCATTTAAATTAATTTTGTTTGGAAAATCTGTTGAATTACTGTATACATTACGCGGAGTACATTGGCGGCACCGAGCTGCGTTGGTGCTGTTTTCTCAGCGTGTCATACAAGCTAATGAATTCGATTTTCAAGAATGCATTGTGCTGACTTTTACGAGGTCACAATATCCTGAATATTGAAATATAACCGAGATACAGGTGATAGCGTGACGCACACCTACATGTTTGTTTTTATCCTGATTCATTAATACATTCTTGCGAACGCACCAATCACCTTCCTCTTTCTGCAGAGCAAACTGATAAGCTGGTGGAACACTATATCCAGCCTTCTTACTCTCATTATAGCCGCTCAGGGAGCCCGGTCCCAAAGTCTAGCAATCTATAGCTAATTTGAGAGGGAAGAGGCCGGCAGCAGTGGGTGAAAGCACTCCAAATTTATTGAAGTCCCAGAATAACAAGCAACATGTTGGCAACTATTCAGGTCACCTCAAAACATTGCTTGTTATTCAAACAGGGTTATTCACTATCGGGAAAACTACTGGTAAGTGAATTCCAAGCTAATGTCAGAATGTAGGCCAAAATACGCGAATTAGAAAAATTCTCCAAATAAATTCTGTTTTCAGTTTGGTAAACTCACTTTAAATGCCAAACAATTCTCATTTTACTTCACTGGGGATAAAATTAGAAATGGGGATTAAGTCATCTAAAATAATTAGAATAAATTAAGATTGCAAGCTCTTGGTTCCACTATCATGTACTTCACAGGATTCCGTTAATGGAATCAATAGGGTTAAAAAGCCACTGAGAAATAATGTGTAAAAGGTGTATTGACGCACATGGTAAATATATATTCTATCTCTTTACAAATCAATGAATATGAAGTTCATGGTAATATCAGAAATATATACACAGCCAGCACGGATATCGTTATAGTGATTTATTCATTAACAGAACAGAATCACAAGAACATCCACAAAGTCTGAAAAATAAAGATTTCACCTAAAGTAGCAGCAAGAGCTTGTTATAGAGTAAACAATACAGATATTGCATTTGTTGCTGAGATAAACTGAGCAGATAACTTAGTAATGGGCTACATGTTTCCCAGGAGATGTTTTGTTACGTTTTATAAATTCCTACAATGTAAATGGGATGTAAAATACACAACATCTGAACCTGTCACTGCAGATTTCCACTTAACATTTTTGTAAACTTAGCAGAACAGGGCTTGAAAGTGAACTTATAACTCCACCTTCAAGCACTGTCAATCAAAAAGTGAGGAATTACACTTCCTGTCTCTAATACCAATGTGATGACAGCAGCACTGTTATTTGAGGACTTGAACACACTGCACCCCTGGAGTCCAAAGACTGTCCATCTCTCTGATGATTGACGCTGCATGCAGCCTTGGGCACCCAGCACCAATCACGAGAGACACTGTCAGTCTTTGTATTTGCAAGAGCTCATGTCCTTGCTTGTCAGCACTTTATGCATGTGAGCGCTAGGAGGAAATGCAAACTTCAGTTTATAGTTCTATTATGTCAGTTTGATGCATTTGTTAAATGAGAGCCTGAAGGGGCAGGGTTTTTTCCCCAATAACCACTTTAATGGTGAATTGGTTATGGTACCTATGGTCTCCCTTTAAATTTTTTTATGTATTTCACACGGAATACACTGATTTTCCCACTGAGATTTTTATGAGAGAAAATGTTACAGTATCGTCAGAGCAATTTCTATTAAATTATTAAACAACTTGGAGCACAGCTATACAGCTATTGCAGGCCTTATATTTCTTGTGTCTTTGAGTAGCTAGATCCTTTGGAGTTATTTTGTAAATGGCAAGCTATCAATCAGAGCCGTCATATTCCGGCTCCCAGCCTCACTCTGCGGCGCGCGAGGGAGCTGAGCAGACAGCTCACAGGAAGAGCTCCCTCGTCAGCCGCCCGCCAATGCCGCCCACCCAGCAGCCACTGGACCACCAGGGAGATAGAGAACCTCTTCCCTCCCCAGCACTCCCAAAGGTAAGTTTAAAAAGTACATGTGTTAATGTGAGTGTGTGTGTGTCTGTTAGTGAGTGTGTCTGTTAGTGTGTGTGTGTCTGTTAGTGAGTGTGTGTGTGTCTGTTAGTGTGTGTGTCTGTTAGTGAGTGTGTGTGTGTCTGTGAGTGAGTGTGTCTCTGCTAGTGAGTGTGTGTGTTTGACTGTGTGTGTCAGTGAGTTTGTGTTTCTATTAGCTAGTGTACGCGTATCTGTCAGTGAGTGTGTGTGTGTATTTAGAAGGCGGGAGGAAGGGATGGGTGGGGGTCGCACGCGGGGGGGAAGGGATGGGGGGGGGTTGGGTGCGCCGGAGTTTTGTCCTGCCTAGGGCAGCACAAAACCAGGATACACCACTGTGTGTGTGTACTATACGTAATGTGTGTGTACTCTATGTACTGTGTGTTTACTGTGTGTGTGTGTACTACATGTAATGGTGTGTGTACTCTATGTACTGTGTGTTTGTGTGTGTGTGTGTGTGTGTGTGTACTCTATGTACTGTGTGTGTGCTATATGTACTGTGTGTGTGTATACTATGGAATAGAGGTACAAGAGGGGGCCTACGTTTTCTTAAAACAGCAATATTCTGTAATGATGCAATGCACTGTAATTATATGGAAGATCAGGATTATTCACTAAACTGAGAGTTCAAAGTGAATTTCAAATTTTAGAGAATTTTTCCAGTCTATTTATTTTTCCCTAAATTTGAAATCCACTTTGAATTCTTAGTTTGGTCAATAATCATGTTGATAAGATTCCCTCTCCTTATATTCACAGGGGTACTCGATGAATAAGGGATTCATTGCATTTATTAAAACTCCTGCCATTTGTTCCTGGTTTGAACTGATTCCCAGCCAAACCATGTGTGTTTAGTGACAATGCTCCCATAGTAGCCGAGCCTCCAGCAAACACCGAGCCAGACTTTGTGATCAAACAATTCATAAACCTCACACTGGCTCCCATACTGAAACATAGGACAGACTATTCTTCATTTACTTTACTGTTATCCTTTATTGCTCCCACTGGAAGGCTATTCCATGTATCTACTACCCTTTCTATATCACTGTTACTGCTCCCACTGGAAGGCTATTCCAGGTATCTACTACCCTTTCTATATCACTGTTACTGCTCCCACTGGAAGGCTATTCCAGCTTTCTACTACCCTGTCTATATCACTGTTACTGCCACTGGAGGGCTATTCCAGGTATCGACTACCATTTCTGTATCACTGTTACTGCTCCCACTGGAAGGTTGTTCTAGGTATCTACTACCCTGTGTATATCACTGTTACTGCTTCCACTGGGCGGCTATTCTACCCTTTCTGTATCACTGTTACTGCTTCCCCTGGAAGGCTATTCCAGGTATCTAATACCCTTTCTGTATCAATGTTACTGTTACCACTGGAAGGCTATTCCAGGTATCTACTACCCTTTCTGTATCACTTTTGCTGATCCCACTGGAAGGCTATTCCAGGTATCTACTACCTTTTCTATATCACTGTTACTGCTCCCACTGGAAAGCTATTCCAGGTATCTACTACCCTTTCTATATCACTGTTACTGCTTCCACTGGAAGGCTATTCCAGGTATCTACTACCTTTTCTATATCACTGTTACTGCTCCCACTGGAAGGCTATTCTAGGTATCTACTACCCTTTCTATATCACTGTTACTGCTCCCACTGGAAGGCTATTCCAGGTATCTACTACCCTTTCTATATCACTGTTATTGCTCCCACTGGAAGGCTATTCCAGGTATCTACTACCCTTTCTATATCACTGTTACTGCTTCCACTGGAAGGCTATTCCAGGTATCTACTACCCTTTCTATATCACTGTTACTGCTACTGGAAGGCTATTCCAGGTATCTACTACCCTTTCTATATCACTGTTACTGCTCCCACTGGAAGGCTATTCCAGATATCTACTACCCTTTCTATATCACTGTTACTGCTCCTACTGGAAGGCTATTCCGGGTACCTACTACCCTTTCTAAATCACTGTTACTGCTCCCACTGGAAGGCTATTCCAGGTATCTACTACCCTTTCTATATCACTGTTACTGCTCCCACTGGAAGGCTATTTCATGTATCTACTACCCTTTCTATATCACAGTTACTGCTCCCACTGGAAGACTATTCCAAGTATCTACTACCCATTCTATATCACTGTTACTGCTCCTACTGGAAGGCTATTCCATGTATCTACTACCCTTTCTTGAACAGTTGCATGTCATGGATCCATGTGTTCTTGTTAGAGTAGTTCAGAATGTTATAGACAGCCTAGATTAGAGATGATGTCCCCATCCCCTTCTCCCTGTCAGACCCCTTGACACAATATATTATTTATTATTTTGTTTATTTATAAGTTATTTTACCAGGAAGGATACATTGAGATTTCCTGGGTATGGCACATTGTAAGTTTTCCATGTTCTGTTTTCTAAACATTGAATTTTGGTGAACTGACATCTGTTACAAAGTATCCAGTTGGAGAGACTCTGTACCTGGATCAGGCATTATCAATCCATTACCAGAGTCCTTAACGTTTACCAAACACAGAAATGAAGGAATCCTTGTTTAATTAATTATCATGGTTCATTATTAACCCTCAGCTCAGACATGCCATTGTCATGCAAGGGTTAAAGGTACTAAATTAACCTGTTCAGGGACAGCTCCAATTAGCTGATATGTTTAAATCTCTGCATGGTTTCTGCTTCTTAGTTAATAGGAGACCAGCTCTGTATCTAAACTACAGTGTTATAATAGCACTTTAACCCTTTCATGACATCCTATGACAAAGTAACCACCCTGAGGTGTCATCTGTCATGAAGGGCATTAATAGGTTAAATGCAGCTCAATAATTCAATTTATAATTCCAGGAAAGCTGTCAATTTAACCCCCTGAGTGCTGGAATAGATTAATTTACAGAGATACATTGTATAAACTGTGATTCTCCAGCCAGGGGCTATGCCCCTTTGATCGGCCCTGGGTGGAGGGCTTTGAGGGAGGATGGATGTGGGGAGTGGCTGAGAGGGAAGGGCAGAGAGAAGCCATGTCCCCCTCCTCACTCCATCTCCACACAGGAGCCAATGCACAGCCTCCCCAGCCCAGAGAGCTGTGCCAGCATTGAGAAGCTCTATGCCCTGGGTGCCAGCATTGAGGTGCTCTGTGCCCTGGGTGCCATCATTGAGGAGCTCTTTGCCCTGGGTGCCAGCATTGAGGAGCTCTCTGTCCTGGGTGCCAGCATTGAGGTGTCCAGAGAGCTGTGCCAGCATTGAGGAGCTCTCTTCCCTGGATGCCAGCATTGAGGAGCTCTCTGCCCTGGGTGCCAGCATTGAGGTGTCTAGAGAGCTGTGCCAGCATTGAGGAGCTCTTTGCCCTGGGTGCCAGCATTGAGGTGTCCAAAGAGCTGTGCCAGCATTGAGGAGCTCTGTGCCCTGGGTGCCCATTATTGAGGAGCTCTGTCTCTGTGCCCTGGATGCCCAGCATGCTGCCCTGGAGGAGAAGCAAGGTTGTGCTGGTGAAGAAGGAGAGAAAGGGAAAGATTCTGAGTTACTCCTCAGCCCTGACCTGGTTCCTGGGCTCCTGCCCTGACCTCCTACACCAGATCCCCCTGGAGCGCCTGGGAAGGGTGTTCAGCAGCAGGAGGCAGAAGGTGGAGCTGAACAGGGAGGATCCCTGCTACACAGTGTGGTACCTGGGCAATGCTGTGACCCTCCATGCCAAGGGGGAGGGCTGCATGCTGGACTCAGTGCAGAAGATCTGGCAGAAGAGTGAGTTTGGGGGGTGCAGCTCCAAGATGAAGCTTTCTCTGGGCACTTATGGGATCAGGATGAGCCCTTGTGGAAGGGGCTCCAGGAAGCCGGTGCATGCCTACCTACTGCACAGGATTACTTACTGTGGGGTGGACTCTGGCCACCCCAAGATCTTCTCCTGGATCTACAGGCACCAGGTGAAGAACAAGGCTGTGGTTCTGAGATGCCATGCTGTGCTGCTCTCCAAGGCTGACAATGCCAGGGCCATGGCACTACTCCTGTGCCAGACCTCCATGGCAGCCTTCAATGAATTCAAAAGGCTAAAGAGACAAAGTGACTTCAGAAGGGGGCAGCAGGAGCTCCTGGGGCAATGTGTGGTACCCCTGGTTCCCCTGAGGAAGCTGCTGAATGGGGTGTGCTCCTATAACCCCCCAGCAGACAGACACAGGAGCCCATCCAGGCTCAGCTCCATCTTAGAGGAAGAGGAGGATAAGGAGGAAGGTCTGGACAGCCCCAGGGGGTATTCCATGGACACCTGCTATGTCCAGCAGGAGAGAGATAAGATCCTAGAACTAGCTAATGAGCTCAGGAGGCTAAGTATTCAGAGGGCTTTGTGCAAAAAACACAGCTGCACCTGCAAGACCCTCACCCAGCTGTCAGAGTGGAAGCCCCCCATTCACAATCCAGTCTGGAAGCCCCCCATTCACAATCCAGTCTGGAAGACCCCCACTTACAATTCAGACTGGAAGACCCCCATTCACAATTCAGACTGGAAGCATCCAGTGAGGACGATTTGCTGACTTCCATTACCGAGTGCCCTGCTTCCATTCTGAGTGCCGTCAGTGTAAGGGTTATTTCTGGGAGATCATGCAGAATGGAGATTGTCAGCTCTTCTGTACAAGGAAGGATATGGGGTCCTGAGGAACAGAGACATTGTTCTGTTCTGGACTTAGGACCATTTGAACCATTCCCAATCAGGTCCCAATCAGCTGGAGCTCAGCTCAGACAGAGAATGTAAGGAAGCCATGTGATTTCCTGAGCTGGGACTTTATCACAACAGAGACTAATTATTATTATTATTATTATTATTATTGTTACTGGATTATAGTTAGTGACACAATGTTTCAATAAACAGAATCCTTTCAATGAGTCTCTGTGTCATCTTTTCTTTGTCATGGAAACATGCTAGTGATTTAACCCCTTCACTGTCAGATGTAAAAGTCATTTATAATGTTATACCTTCCCTCCCTTCCTCCCCCCCCCCCCCCCCCCTCCACACGTACTACTTCTCTCTCAGTAAATAACATATTGTTATCCAGATAATAAAATGATAAAACAGTGAATTGAATACAGAGTGACAGATTTGTGGCATACTTGGAGAATGTTTCCAAATCAGCTATTCTGGTCTAAATATTACAACATTGCTTTCCATTCACAGAGTTTATTGAATAACCCCTTAATAATTCTGCATCACCTTCCCTTGGTGGATAATACCACTATCCACTAACACCCTAACCATGCCTATTTCTAATGAATATAACTCCCATAACACTCAGCCTGCTTTTTCCCTGACTGAAGTTTCGATAGATGTCAGCTGGACATTTTGCATCCTTCTGTTTTGTTTTGTTTTTGCATCATTCTGTTTTTGTTTTGTTTATTGGTTACATGACACTTTATATAATATTTGCTTTATTTTTCAATATTGCTACAGAGCTAATGTTTTTTTTTTATTTACTTAGTTTTGCTACATGACTGTTTCACCTTGAGCAATCACTATCTAGGCCAAGATGAATTCTGTTTAATTAAACGGATCTTCTCGCTGTGTAACATAGTTACCTGTAATAACTTTGCTGACGTTTTATTTGCTCTGGGTTTACTTTACGTGCGTGATTTTATTAATTCTGAAGGCGCTGGCGAGATGATGTGATGTATAAACATGTATGTAATCAAGGCCTTCACTAAGGCCATAAATCTAGTTAATATTACGACTCCACAGTCTGCACACAGTGTATTATCGTCCCAGGGTCGGGAGGAAACCGGCAGAGTTAGTCACATAAACAGAGACTTGTAGTGAACTCAAATCTGAATGGTGAAATTCAGGCTAAAACAGCCATAGCACCACTCCTGATCGAGCTCTGCCGGGTCATCTCTCCCTCCCTCCCCAGCCGCATGTCTGTGCAAGTGGGCCGGTGAGGGAGATCTTGCATGGACCGGCTGGGGAGGTCCTGTGACCTCCACTGCCGGCCTCGGCCTATGGCATTTGCCCGGTGTTCCTGATGGCCAGTCCGGGCCTGCTTTTACACCTGTAACCTATCACTCAAGGGGCGGGGTTACTAAAAGTAACTCTGCCCCACCCCATGTACCGCACTGTTGTCTCTGGTTGCTAACTCCCTACCTAGCTCTCTGAGAGTTAAATGAATTTACAAATTATCTAAATCAGTTTAGCTTGCTGTGCTTTATGTGTGAATAGCGTGTCCTCTTTTTTTTTTTTTCATTTTACAGAAAGTATAGAGATCAATAGGAATTGACACATTTATAAATTAACCTTGTTACACCCCCATGGCTGTCAATCAGACAGCCGGTCCTGTTACTTCCTGGCTGGTTAACTCAGTGGAGATAAACTCAAGAGGCAGCAATTACCCAGAGCACCTGCCTTGTAAAGACTTCTCATTGAGCTGCTTTGGAAGACTGTGATTGGACAGTCACAGAAAGTCTAGGTGGGGTTAGAAGGGGAGGGTTCGCAGAGGCTACAGACAAGAGATCTACAGCTTTTACAAAATGTTTTTAGATAATTATAAAAATATAAGTAAATGCAAGTATGTTTTCATTGGGGTATATCAACTAAACAGTGATTTTTAAAATTATCATTATTAATATTTTTATTTGGCAGTGTGGTGTCCCTATACCAGCAGTAGACACTCAGCTCCATACTCTGAGTTGGAGTAAATTGAAACAAAATTCAAAATTTAGGGCAAAATAATTTATAGGGAAAAAATCTCATAATCTGCTAAAGTCACTGATGAACTATTTTAGCCTAAATTTTATAACTCTTTTTTCTCTACAACTTACTGTCAGGATAATTGACTAAATTGGGAATTGTTGATAATTTAAGTTGTATTTGACATTGTGGGCAAAAGTAGCCAAAATGGGAAAAACTCCCCAAGTCAGCCATGTTTTCACTTCAGCTACTTTGGTTTAAAATTCGAAGTTCACTTTCATTTTCTGACAATAATTATACTATATAAAATAAATGAGGTCCAGGCCTTCAGGATTGCTGCAGGAAGGCAGGTTTATTGAAACAAAAAGTGCAACGTTTCGGCCAGCACAGAGGCCTTTATCAAGCTAAATAATTATACTTTTGTGAATACAACCAACAGAGGTTAAAATTCCTACAACATGTTAAAGGGCAATGGAAAATCTTTCTAGACGTGTTTTATCGAGACATTAAACTTTTAATAAAATAACATCTGTCCGTGGATTCCACATCGTAATTACTGTGAGTGTAAAATGCAAAACTGACAATAAATAACATGGACTATATTCATATATAAATTGCATTCCCAATTAAAGTTAATCTCCTTGTTGTTGATCAGCTGTGGGGGGTTAGTCGATCTGAACTAATGAAAGACACACATTTCAGTTAATGAATCTTCCTCCGGATCAGGTAATTAGATCTCTCCTGACAATAGACAATTTTCTCAGATAAAGGCCCATATCCCAAATCTGCATAAAGATATCAAATAAGATAACACAGCTGGTTTCTTCAAACAGGAAGATCATTAATATCTGAGCAAACTTCATAGCTAAACCGTCGACACAGGATGGGATCCATCGGCCAACCGCACTTCCAAAAATACACTTCCATTAAAAACATCCTTTTTGTGTCAATAAACAGACACATTGCAGAGAGCTGGGGCCGGCGTGTAAGAAACCATTCAATTATGCATTGTTTTTGTGAATTTTGCGAAATTCTGATAAATTGTCGTGCAAAGTTCTAAAAGGGGAGCAGTTACCATGGAAACTAACAAAATGTTCATGCTGACTGCTCCAATCTTAAAATCCTGCTCAAGAATTTCTCTTTGGGATTTGGTTTTGCTAATTTTTACTGAAGTAAAACTAAATGGAAACGTTTAATAATAACGTAAAGATAAACCAGCTAAATTAGAACGAGGTTGGAGAACTTTTCCAGAACGTGTATCATGGCCTACACTTTCTGATTTTCAAATCACTGCATTTCCCATGTTAGTGAATAAAGTGTACAATGTCAGACAGTGTTGAGAACCAGAGATGGAAATGTCTATTTGAAACTGTGTAGGCTTGCACGCCCGTCGCCCAGTAATAATGGTAGTGACTTGTAAAGTGAATTATTGCACTGCAGATCCTGGGACTAAGTATAAAACTACATTTGGCACATGTTCCGCGCACCCCATATTCCAGCTCGGTGACATTGTAGTGTACGGATATCCTTAGAATTTCAAGGGCAGCATTTACACAGGCAAGCCGCTACATTGTGTGGGTTTCTAATAAATTAAATAACAGTAGAATTCTAGAAGAGAAATCCACATACAGTATTGACCGCTTGCTTGCTACATACCATTAATCACAGGATTGTCCGCACAATGATTACAGTTTCCTTTTAGTTAAATAGTGCTCAAGGTTGCTGACATCACTCACCAAAAAGCCCTCAATGAAAATACATTATGTGGCTGCATATTCACTAAACGGAGCTGTCAACTGACCTGCAAAATGTCCCCGTTAATAATGCACTTAGTGAAACTCAAATCAACTGAGAGTGGGATTCTTCCTTAATCTGACTGTTTTGGTCTGAATTGTGTACACCAGAAACCTTCTTTAACCCCTTAAGGACACAACTTCTGGAATGAAAGGGAATCGTGGTGGAATATTTCCGTCATGTGTCCTTAAGGGGTTAATGTCCAGAAACAAAACAAAAAACAAAACAGAAGACAAAAATCTTTATTGCAACAACTAAAATAGGCAAGATGTGATTACTATATACTGTGTTGGAGAACCATTCTAAAATCATCTATTTAAGCCCAAACTCTGACATTCAGACTTTAATTCCCTTTACTAACATCTGATAATATCCCTGATAATGCACAAACCATTAGGGAAATTGTGAAGATTCAAGCCAGTAATTTATACATTTCCGTTCAGATTAACAGAGTTGGAATAAGTGAGTTGAAATTCCTCCCACGTTGACAATTATGGACTAAAATGTGTCCATTTACTCCGAGTATTTCTACGTTTGGAAATTCATTCTAACGTTGTTATGAAATAGGTCTTCTCCGAGGTGTGCGTGTTTTAATGTTGCCAACAAAATATTGATATTGTGGCCCAATTGTTGAACCGAGGCCATGTTTATATTTACTAAAACTGCGGCTAGAGGAGAATTGACGTCAGCAGTTAGCAGTTAATCCTGCCGTGTCAGTAATATAAATATTACATACAAGACGATATACTGTGTTTATTATCTGGATCAGGCAAAAGACATTTGCATTTTATTTGAGGAAACAAATTATTATTTGCATGAATTCAGGGATGTTATAATAAACCTAGAATACAAAATTTTTTTTTAAAAATGACAAATTACAATTTCTGCTTTTTTTGACACTGCCAAATAGTTGTTTTTAGAGAGATAGTAAGACTTTATGGCAGCCGAACTCTGTGGGATTTAGTCACTAGTCATCGAATTCTTGTACATTGAAAACTGAACTTGAAAATTTAGACAATAATATCTGGTTTGGAAAAACTCTCCAACTCGGCTAAAGTCACAGGTTCAAATCCCTGTCAAAACACCTCACAGGTAAGTGTCCCTCAGCAAGGCACAGAGCAATATATAGCTACCTACCTCAATGCCTCATAGACTGTAAGCTTGTTTGAGCAGGGCCTTCACAATGTTTTCAAATGATTTCATATTTTTGGATAAGCTTTTAAAATATTATTTTTCAAAATATTAAAATATATTTAAATATATACAAAATGAAAATAGGTCTCAGAAAATAGTTTCAAAATATTAAACTATATTTAAATATTACAAAATGAAAATAGGTCTCATAATATTATATCATTTTAAAAGTTTATCCAAATATA